AACAGAGAGCCAATTTATAGACTCAGCCAAATACTCTTCCATTCTTCGAAAACGGGCCATCTAACGCATTTAATCGATTAACATAAGTATTAATCGATTAAAATGAGTACAACGGCTAGTTTTTCAAATCTGAAAACCCCAACGGTCAGTGTTAATCGATTATTCTCAAGATTAATCGATTAGCTAATCGATTATTATACACTTTAATCGATTATTCTAGTGGCGCTTGGGTTTTCAGGGCCAGCCACTGTTTTAATCGATTAATACTTGTTTTAATCGATTAATACAGTGCGATTTTGACTCTGGACATTAATTATATAATATAAAATTACATGGAATCAAAACCACTAAAAATCTAAGTCCTAGACACTAAACTACAATTATTACAAAAGCTTTCCATAGCAATACAAGTCTTCATAACATCTTGAATCTTGATTTCTCTTGACTTGATTTGGACATCATCAAAACTTCATCTTCATCATTTTGCTAACAGAATTTTGGTTCGCTATTACGGAAATGCATAAAATTAATTATTTTCTTTTGAAAAACGTAAATGTACCATTTGTTTTTTTAAAAAATGTCAAACACAAATGTGCAGCACAGGACGATTTCTTCATGTATTCCTTCTTATTGTTACCTTCTTATAGTTAATATATTGAAAAACATAGATTTGCAACTAAGGATAAAACTTATATATATATATATATATATATATATATATATATATATTCACAAACTGTTCTTTTTTTACAAACTCCACGGAAAACATTCTGTCATTTAAGTAAAATGAACCAAAAATATTAAACAAGTTAAAACAATATATAATCAAAAACATTGAAACTTCATTTGTAAATGTAATATTTCTTGCTGTTAGTATCAATGCATTTTGCATGTAAATGTCACCTTTCATCCAAATAAGCATCCACTTTAAATGTTTATTCAATATGCGCTCTAATTATTTATTTATTATTCTTTATATTAGGCTTGGGTTGGAGAGTATGATTTCTTCCAAAATTAACTAATCAAGCCCAAAGATACACGTGTTCTGTTTCTAGCTAAATCTAATATAGAGAGAAGGAAAAAGGCACTATCTAGTCTTATTAGATACAATCTTAAACAGCTGGCTAACTTATGCCAGTTGACTATTAACTATTATTGCAATACCACATTTCAAACATGTAAGGATTAGAAATACCAACACATATCAAAATGAAACTATTTTCACTGTACGATTATAATAAACTTAAGTAACTTTGTAGTAATATAATTATTTATGTTGAAAGGGAACGAGGAAAACTCCTGCTTCTTTCGCTCGGGAATGCTCCACCTTCGTCGATCGGTCCTCCTTGCTCCTGTCTTACCACCTGGATCCTCCTCTCTTACTGCCAAAATGGGGGTAGCCTGCATCCGACGCTCAAGTCATAATTTATCTCTGCAAGTCTAGTAAAATCAGAAAATCAGACAGCTTACCTTCTCAATCAATTGTTATTTATAGGATTTCAAGGAATATCATCCATTAATATACCTCTTAATGACGATAATGCCCACCTTAACTGCTCGAGAGTGACCGTTACATCATTAATTATGCATTCATTGACATTCAGAGGTTGTCTCCAGCAAACGGCTGGAGAGTTCACGAGTATTATCCTGGCGTCGGATCGGAAATGATCGGCTTCCACCGTCTACCCGGTCAGTCTAATTAACACTTCCATAGTTCTTGGACGATCAGTCTAACCTACTCGATAGTGACTCAAGCATGTCCGGTCGTTCCAACTTTGTGGTAACAATAATAACATTATTGGAAAGGTTTGACTGACACCCTTCTTTTTCTATACACTCATTTAATAACTTTTTATTTCATTTAATTGCAAACTTAGGTCTTGAGATTGTAATTAAATGAAGAATGGGGTTATCAACATATATTTTTTCGAAAAAGTTAGATAGAGGCTGTCACGTTTGACGAATCTAATGCGTGAGTTGTCATTGGACTTCTGTGCCGCAAAGCAATCAAAGGTGGCAACTCCCTTTCACGTATATAAATACAGGGAAAATGTTATTTGGACAACAAAAGTTTGACACAATTTTGACAACGGCGACGTGGCAGCTGTGCATTGGCTCAGTGAACCGGGGTAAGGGGTATTTTGGGTTTTTTCTGGTTTGTTTTCAATTCACTGAGCCAATGCACAGCTGCCACGTCGCCGTTGTCAAAATTGTGTCAAACTTTTGTTGTCCAAATAACATTTTCCATAAAATACTGCTGCCACTTATCTTCAACTTCATTTCTATTTCAGTTGTCATACACAGCCATGGCTAATACTCCCAACATTCTGCGTCTCATCTCTCTCTTCCAACTTTTCTTCATTGCACCCTCTTTCGCTCAGCAATCTTTCAGACCCAAAGCCCTCGTTGTCCCCGTTACAAAACATGCATCAACTCTTCAATACGTAACTCAAATCAACCAAAGAACTCCCCTTGTCCCACTAAACCTTGTGCTTGACATCGGAGGCCAATTCCTCTGGGTCGACTGCGACACCAATTACGTCTCCTCCACTTACCGCCCTGCACGGTGCCGCTCCGCCCAGTGCTCCCTCGCCAGATCCACCTCCTGCGGGGACTGCTTTTCCGCCCCCAGACCCGGCTGCAACAACAACACGTGCGGCCTCACGCCGGACAACACCATCACCCACACCGCTACCTCCGGCGAGCTTGCTGAAGATACCGTCTCCCTCCAATCCACCAACGGCTTCAACCCGGGACGAAACGTCACCGTTTCCCGCTTCCTCTTCTCCTGCGCCTCCACCTTCTTACTCCAAGGTCTCGCCACTGGAGTCTCCGGCATGGCAGGTCTCGGCAGGACGAAAATCGCACTTCCCTCACAGTTCGCTTCCGCGTTCAGCTTCCACAGGAAATTCGCCGTCTGCCTCTCCTCTTCCAAAGGCGTCGCTTTCTTCGGCGACGGCCCTTACGTTCTACTCCCCAACATCGACGCCGCTCAGTTACTCACCTTCACCCCTCTGTTAGTCAACCCCGTCAGCACCGCATCCGCTTTCTCCCAGGGAGAACCCTCCGCCGAGTATTTCATCGGCGTGAAATCCATCAGAATCGACGAAAAAGCCGTGCCCCTTAACACGACTTTGCTATCCATAAACAGCGAAGGCGTTGGCGGAACCAAGATCAGTTCCGTTAACCCCTACACCGTGTTGGAGGCTTCGATCTTCAAAGCAGTGACGGAAGCTTTTGTAAAAGCGTCTGCTGCGAGGAATATAACGAGGGTGGCTGGTGTGGCACCGTTTGAAGTGTGTTTCAGCAGTGAGAACGTGGTGGGCACTCGGTTAGGGGCGTCGGTGCCAACCATTGAACTTGTTCTCCACAACCAGAAGACGATTTGGAGAATTTTCGGAGCGAACTCGATGGTGAGTGTGAGCGATGAGGTACTTTGTCTCGGGTTTGTGAATGGTGGTGAGAAGCCGAGCACTTCGATTGTGATTGGTGGGTATCAACTTGAGAATAATCTCTTGCAGTTCGATTTGGCCGCTTCAAGGTTGGGTTTCAGTTCTTTGCTCTTTGGAAGCCGAACTACATGCGCAAACTTCAACTTTACCTCCACTGTCTAAAAGAAACCTTTCTATAACTACCATTATCTCATTTTCATCCATAATAAATGCTAGCTGTTGAATTTGAGTATGCATAGTTTCGTGTAGACAGCTATAAGTTTGAACATTTTATTTAGATTTTTTCTTACTGATTAAAGTGTGGGAAACCTCCACGCTCTGTCTGTATCAGCATTCATCATACATAGTTTTGCTTTATTTAATAACTTAATAATGCATCTTTATAATCTCTCTTTATCTTAATATTTTAGATTAATAGTATTAAGTATCATTAAACATGATTTGTCTCAGGAGCCTTTTTTTCATAGCTTGTTTTTTATTTTTAATATTCACTTTTAAGAAAAAGCAATTCAACTGTTGAGAATGGAAGAGTAGTTTTCCACAAGATTATTTTAGATATATAACTGATTATAAGTATAAATTCATAGCCATCATATTAATAATCGAGGTAATTGAAAGTTGAGTGGCATTAAAAATATAAAAATCTATAAATATTAAAAGTGTTAAGATGTTGTGTTAAAGTAGGTGTCAGTTATAAATAATTTATATAATCTCTCTAATAAAAAATACTTCTAATATTCTTTCATTGTCCGTGTTAATTACTCAATTTTTACCACGAAACTTTAAGACTTAAAATTGAGCTTGTTAATGATTTTTAATTACTCAATTATACACAATAAAATTAAAAATCATTATATAGCAATCAATTTTAAAAGACTTAAAAAATTATAAAAACTTAAAATAGTCTTTATAAATAAAAAAATTATAATTGATTTATAAATTAAAATCTAAGTTAATTTTTTACAAACATTAACCACCAAGAAATTATCGTCAAAATTAGTATCTAGTTTAAAATTATAAATTAATTAGTAGCTAAAATCTTGATGATTGAAATATCTTAAAATTAGCTTATTCATTTACATTTAAGTTTGTTAGTTTTTAAAAATTGATAAAAAAACATAGTAAAAAGTAATTTATTAGTATATATTAATATTTATTAGATTTTTAAAATTTAACTTTAGAAGTTAAGAATAGAAAAAAAAATTAAAGACTAATTAATTGTGAAAATTTAGTTATTTGTAAATAGTAATATTTATTAGCCTTTTAAAATTTAAATATAGAAGTTAGGAATAGAAAAAGAAATTGATAGGTATAATTAATCGTGAAAATTAATTTATTACTACTTTGCTCAACCTTGACTTTCAAATGACTTGGCTTGAATTCCAATTTTATATGACTCAGCTTAATCTTTAGTTAAGAATAACGAGATTCAATTTTTGTCAGAAATGCACTTTAATTGACTTTTAATTGAGGCCAACTTGGATTCATCTTTGATCAGAAGTGACTCTGATTGACCTATAGTTTTGGTCGACTTAGATTCTTCAATCTGAGTTGACTCGACTCAATTCTCTTATTCAAGTTGACTCGTCTCGATTCTTCTGTATGCATTGAGTCATCTCGACCTTAATTTAGGTCAACCCGATTCAATTATTCGACCCGAGTCGACTAGTCTCGATTCTTTAGGATAGGCCAACACATCTCGACCTTTATACTAAACCAACTTAGCTTGATTATTCAGCTTAGACTGACTCAACTTGACCTTCAACTCAGTCTGACTTTGCTCGATCTTTAACCCAAGCTATCTCGACTCAACTTTTCAATCAAGGTCAACTTGGTTCAATTTTTTGTCATAAGCCAACTTGGCTTAACCTTTTGGATTAGGCCAACTCAGCTCAACCTTCAACCCAAGATGACTCATCTTGATCTTTGTCTTGGACTAACACCTCTCGACTTTTAGGCCACCGACTAGGCTCGATTCTTCAACCTAGGCCAACTTAGCTATTATTCAACTTTGGTCAACTTGTCTCAATTCTTCGGCACAGACTTGTTAAGACAAAATCGTTTAGAGAATAGACCGTCTAAAGCAACCCAAGTTTTAAATTTTAACAAAACGCATTAAACGAAATATTATTGTGTAGGAAAAACTTTTTAAAACAACAACGTCTAATGAAGAAGCATTTTATAACATATGAAGCCAAAAGCTAAAGTAATGCTTTATAGAACAAACTGTTTAAATGAATTAGAAAATCATAAACAACGTTTAAAAGAAAGTGTCTCTATTGAAATCTCTCAATAGACTATATGAACAAATTAAGCTAGATTCTTATGAAAATAGAAGTTTATCCCTTATATAACACTAAAGATAAAAGAATTTTTTAGTGTTATATCAAGCAAAACTTTCTAGAGAAAACATCGTCTAGCTGGTAAGTGATTGTTAAAAGCTTTAGTCCTTGAGAAAGATTTTATGCTTATACCATCTGATGAATATACATTTGTTTTACCAAATGATGCATTTATTAATGAAATGACAAATGATAAAATGTCTTGAACACGATATACCGGTTAACGCTTATCAACGTCCAAAACATTTAATGAATGTACGAAAAAGTACTTTGATACTTGTATACTTTGTTTCCATATATATGTGCAGATCAATAAAGCAGTAAGATATAACCAAAATCACGACATCCAATAAAAAGCAGTTGTGAGAGAAGAAGAACATTTTGTAAATGTTTCATTGTAGTCATTTGTTCTGTCACATCGTACAAGCTCAAGTTTTGCATAAGACTATAAAGCTCTGGACCGTACAAAGTAGACTAAAGTGAGACTTCACATTTAAAGACTTCCAACTCTTCAGAAATCAACTTCTCTGTCTAATAGTCTTCTTTCAATAAGCTATATTTAGAAGAAAGCTTGAAGAGAAGATGTTGTTGATAAAAAGCACGAGAAAGATAACATAATAAGAATAACAACGTGAAAAAAGAGAAAAGTTTAAAGTGTTCTTATATCGTTTAATATCTTTTGAGAGAAAATATTTGTAAAAGAAAGAAACACATTCAAGTGTCACATATTGTATTATGTTAGATAACATATCATCTCGCCCCCACTACATTTTAAAGGTTCCTTCCACACTATCATTACATGCAACATGCCCTGCTTTAGGATCCAAACCAAACCCTTCTATGGATCCCAAATCATCTCTTTATCAGAGTCCTTCAATACCCACATATTCCTTAGTACTGTCTCCAGATATACACCATCCATCTAACGATCCTGCTTCACTTATTGATGGAGATGACCCTTCTCTCCATGATTGATCGATCATTGAACCTTATGGTCGAAGGTAATATCATAACATCTTTGTAACTAATTTTTATTACATGAATTGTTTTACTTTGCTTTAACTTTGATAACTTTTTTTATTCATATTTAGGTTTCTTTCTTTAGAGTTCCTTCCCATGCCATTACAAGGTCTATTACGTAATAATTTCTTCAGCCTTGACTATTATGAGGAGCAATACCTCTATAAGACACAAAACCATTCTAGTAGCAATTTAAGGTAAAACATCATGAAATCAATTCTCATTTTCTATTGATGTATATTAAGTCCATCAATTCTATTTTAATATGATCTATATCTATCAGTAAACTTGTTTAATGTGTATTATTGCACCTATGTAATATTTTTTATACTCATCTAATCAATGTATGAACAGACTCGTCTAATGTGTATTACAAGATTGATCTAAGCAGTAAATGAACAAACTTGTCTAATTTTTATTAATAGACTTGTCTAATTTGTGTGTGAAAAGACCCATCTTATGTATATTGCTAGAGTCATCTAATAACTATATGAATGTCTTATCTAATGTGTATTGTTAGACTTGTTTAATCAATATATTGACAATCTCGTCTATTGTGTATATTGTTAGACTCATATAATATTTTTTTATTATATTTGTTTAATATGTGTTACTAAACTCATCTAATCAATGTAAGTTTAATATATATTTATCGACTCAAGCAATGACAATATAAATACATTATTTTTTAAAATAATTAATTTTTTAGTTTTTACTTTTTGTTTTGTTTTTATCGTACTAAGTCTTAAATTGTACATTTTCAAGTTAAAAATAGTAAACAATTAATTTAAAAATATAAAAAAAATTAATAATATTAAGAAGTATGATTTTGTTATTCCAAGTATCTAATTTGAACATTTAAAATTAACTAGTACAATATTTTAATTTATTTTGTTATAAATATCATTATTAAAAACTTTTTGTCAATTTCTATTGCACATAAAAATATTCAACAAGAATATTTATGTTATAAATTAAAATAAAAAAGAATAACGTAATTTGTTTTACACAGAAGTATTACATTACAAGTTATTTTATTTTACAGTGTAACAATTTTGTACTATTAATAAAAATATATTATTTTTAAACAATATTATTTGAAGAAATAAAATTAAAATATTTTTTAAAATTTATTTTATTAAATGATCAATTAATTAGAAATCACAAAAACAATAGAACTAAAAATGAAAAAAATACTATAGCAAAAAAGTTTAATACTTTAAATATAAGTTATTTTTATCTAATATTTTTTTTATACTTGTTTAATATTTTTTATTAAACTCGTTTAATCAATTAATCAATATAATATATATATATATATATATATATATATATATATATATTTCTAAACTCATCTAATTATAATATAAATACATGAGTGTTGTTCCCTCCACCACCACCACTTGCTCTCTCCACTACTCCATTTCTGTTTTACCCTTCTCTATATTTTCCCATTCCTATTTTATCCTTAGTAAAATTTTAGGGTTAATATTTTTTAACCTCTCTACATGTATGAAGCACATAAAGTCTTCTTCATCTTTATCATTCGTCCCTCATTGTTTCATTGTGTTATTCTTCCTCTCACGTTCCACTTTTTCCTCTCGTTTATAGAATTGTGGTGTGAGAGTGTGGTGGACTTTCAGTGTGCTTAGTGAGAGATTGCAAGTGGTGGAAGCAATTGATTAGGTGTGTTGTGTGGTGGTGGTGTGGTGGTGCTTGAACGTGCAGGTCGAGAGATTCGTGGTGAAGGTGCATAATAAACCCTAAAAAATAAACGTATAATCTTTAAACGGATGTGACATCCGTCAGCGGATGTCAACATCCGTTTAAGGGAAAACAGATGTCGATATTCGTTATAGACGTCGGGGCCCCTCCTAACAGACGTCTATATGCCCACTTATTTACGAAAATGCCACCGGTCAATA